TAGGGTTAAGAAAAATGCAACATAGACTGTCTTCTTAGGGTTTATAGTGCGCAGATAGATCGGAAGCTATGATACCGTCTGGAAAATTAGATTAAATGAAATCTGATTTTATTATTTTAATACAAAGAGATCATACAAGATATATACAGGAGACCTAAGCTATTTTAGGAAATATAATAACTCTATTTTATTCTAGGATCCCTTGATTTATGTGATTGTTCCTAATTGTTCAAATTTGTACAAATTATAAATTTCCGAATTTATTCTTTCCTAAAATACTATTTGATTTCCCACGAAGAAGAACAATATCACCACATGCAGTAGTAGTAACATGATCATCATTATGATTATTCTCTTTCTCCTTGTCCTTCTTGCCTCTATTATCATTTTTCCACTTATAACAATATTTTTGGATGTGTCCAGGTTTATTATAATAATGACACTTTATATTATTGTATCTTGTCTTAGAATTGCTCTTGCTCTTGTCTCTATCACCCTTCGGTTCCTTTTTCTGACATCTCCCCCTATTTTTAGTGACAAGCACCTCAGACTGAAATGAAGAACTATGTGTCTTCTTTCTCATCTCCTCATTAAGAGCACCATTCTTTGCCATTTGGAAAGAAACAATACCATTAAGGGTTGAATTTGTAATGAAAACCCGAAATATCTCTCAAGACTCTGGTAGAGTATTCAGTAACCATAACCCAAAACTTCATCATCAAAATTTATATTCATTCTTGACAGTTGATCTATGAGCCCTTGAAACTCATTTAAGTAATCTAAAATTGAAGAACTCTCCCTGTAACTCAAATTCATCAAACAATTCAACAAATACAATTTATTATTGTCTGATTTAGAAGCATACAAGGACTCAATCTTCTCGTACAAAGTTCTAGCATGTCTCTCATTAGCTGTGTGATTATAAACATTGTCTTCTACATATTGTTGAATAAAATCATACACCTGTTGGTGCTCAAAGTCTCATTCTTCATCAGACATAGAATCCGACTTTTGTGTAACAAAGACAGGAATATGCAATTTCTTCACAAACAATAAATCTTTCTCATCTTGTCTTTTCACAAATGATAATTTGTACCATTTAAAACAACCATCTTTGCATTTGTCTTCATCATTCAAGCAAGTAAATATAACAAAAAAAAAAAACTAAGAGCTTTGATGCCCACTCTGATAGAAAAAAATAATACAACAACCTAAAATACCAAAATATGCAGCGGAAATATCTTTCGTAAACTTGCAAGAATATGAGAGGAACAACAACAACAAATAATGACAGAAATAATCAAAGCAGAGAACACCAATATTTTTAACGTGAGAAAACTTCATTAATATGAGAAGTAAAAACTCACGATACAAGTCAGTCAAACAAGCTCCATTAAGATCAAAATATGAATATAAGAGAATTAAATAAAAAAATACACAAATAAGTGCCTACAAAACAACCAATATATCAAAATTATAGTGCTCTCAAATACGAAGAACAAAGAAAAGAAAAAATCAATGACAGTGTGAGACTGATATCTTTAATCACATACCTCTAATTAACGATCCAACAGTCAAAATGAAGACCCTTACACTACCAACCTACTGTCAAAATTCCATTCCGATTCAAGGGTGAACTATGCAACAATCGTAGTTTGGTAAATTAACAAAATTATTTTCTTTTCTTTTTCTTTTTAAAGGTTGCTATATACTCTTTCTGTTCCCTCATCTGACAAATTTCTATAAAGACTAAGTGAGATAAAATGGATTTGATTAATTTAAGTCTTTTTAAACAGATAATTGGGAGCGCAGCCAAACAATTATACAGGAACTATGACCATTGTTTCTGATCGTGACAAGACAATTACGAGTCATTTTTTGGCTTGTTCAAGAGTCATGGCACCACTTTAGCTGTGAGTACGTCGTATCATCCACAAACAGAGAACCAATCTGAAGCTCTCAACCGCTGCATCGAAATGTACCTTCGCTATTTTATTTTTGAGCATCCTCGAAATTGGCTGCAATTTCTTCCATGGGCTGATTATTGGTATAACACATCTTACCAAACTGTTGTTGGGTTCTGTCCATTTCAGGTGGTTTACGGGCGACATCCTCTGCGTTACTCCGGGACACTACAGCCACTGGTCCAGCTTATGTGGAGCAACTCCTACAACAATGTGATGTAGTGTTGTCAACCCTTAAGACCAATCTTGCAAGAGCACAAAATCATATGAAGCATATTGTTGATTGCAAGCACGCAAATGTTGAATTTCAATCAAGTGACATGGTGTATGTCAAGCTCCAACCATATCGCCAAGTTACGTTGCGCGAACACCGTCACCAGAAACTTGGGCTTCATTATTTTGGGCCTTTTCCTGTTATTGAACGGATTGTGCCAGTTGCTTACCGCCTCCTACTTCCTCCTTCGGTCCGCATTCATTCCATTTTTCATGTGTCACTTCGGAAGAGATGCACTGGTACTGATCACCAACAGTATTTTTCCCTTTCGTTAGCAGCAACAGTTGGTGCCTCCTTTACCGTTCCAACGACTATTTTAGATGCTCGTCGTATCTAACAACAGGGACACTGGATTCATCAAGTCCCCATGCAATGGTCCAATATGGATGTGTCTGACAACATCTGGGAATCTGTAGTCCAACTGAAATCTCAGTTTCCTCAGTTTGACCTTGAGGGCAAGGTTAATATTAATAAAGAGGACATTATTATGGGTGTGCATGGCTAATGATCCAAAAGATGCTCATGCTTGTCATTATATTATGGGTAATGTGAGCGTAAATTTGGCTAAATGTATATGTTTATATCTTAATTTTATAGAATGAATATTAAGTAATATCAATACTATTGTATATAAATACTGTTTGTCCTCTTTTGGGTAAGGGAAGGATAATGAATCCTTCAATCCCAAGTATGAATCCTAAAAAGAAAACAATTCTTCTTAATTCCATCCCTAATGTTGTTGATATTATTCCAGCTGAAAAAGTATCAAAATAAAGTAAGATATCTGAAGGTAAGTGAAGTGTTGATAAAGCCTGATGATACAATACACAGAAGACATATATTTTATGTTGCTAATATTATGTCTTTTGAAACATATGTTCAAAACTTATATGTTTTAAGTTATAAGATACGTGTCATTTTGATTATGACTTTAGAACACTTCAAATAATTTTATTAATATACTAAAATCAAATTATTGAAATTTTAAAAATGTTATTTTATTTATGAAAGTTTGGAATTAGTTAAATTAAATCTCCTCTCAACATTTTGTCTATAACCAACTAATCATATATATATATATATATATATATATATATATATATATTCAATGTTTCGTCGAATATGAAAAAAAAAACACTCAAATTGTAAAAGTTTAATTTTAATATTTTCATAAAAATTTAAATTATAATATTATGTTGTTTTATTTATTTTTATTTTTATTTTAAAATATACCTTATGCTATGATCTAAATTCATAGGTGAAAAGGGTAGATATAAATTGAGTAAATATATTATAAAGTAATGGAGAGAAAAAAAACTGAATCATTAAATTATGAAATAAGAAATAATTAAGAGAAAATTAAATAAATAAATTATTAAAATAAATAAGTAATTAATATTTATCATGTGCCATGTAGACATTATAACTAAACCGTTATACTTTTAGGCTGATTTTTAATATAATCGAAAAACGTATACATTAATTTTTTAACTACATATTCAATATAATTATTCGTCAACCATTTATACTATATCAATAAATATTGTTTTTTTAAATATTAAAATGGACCTATCATAAACGGTTAAGACAACTAAATTCGGTTTTAAAAAAAATCAAATAATTAAAGAAATTAATTGAACTAAAGTTTTTTTCAAATCCAAAAGTTAAAATTAATTAAATCTAAATTTTCTATTAAACACCACAATTAAAAGTTTGTATATCATTTATACCTATTTATAAACTTTACCATGTAAACAACTTTCTACCTTGTCTCACATTTATTTGTTTTTTTTTTTGTAAATTTTGGACACGAAGTATTGGAATAAAAAAGTTGTTTATTCATTAAATTGATAAGTATATAAAAGTTATTATAACAATAAACGAACTCATTATAAAAAAATATTCTATATTTTTTATTATAATAAAAACTACTGAATGTAGTTAAAAAAAATCAATTACTATAATTATACGAAAAAAGTTATAACATCTAAATTTATTTATTAATTATTATAATTATAGATAAAACATAGTTACTAAACTATTAATAATAAAATAATAAAAAAATGTAATAAAAAATATTTTTTCGCTAATTACTATAGAAGTATATATATTTTATTTATTTTTTTAAATAAAAAGTAACCAATTTTAATGTAATAGTGAAATATAACATACTTTGTTCCACGCACTCTTCATTCTATTTATTAATTAAATATTCTGAATATTTTTTCCCTTTACTTACATATACACACTAGGCATATAATAATTAGTCAAAAAATTATTTCAGTTATCTTACATGTTATGTTTATATGTATATTTAGTATTCTTAATCATTTGATTTTAATCTTAAAATATTTATTATCAATAATTAAAAAAAAAGCTTATATCACAAACTAAAATTTTCACTGTATATCTAAAATATAATTTATATATTTTATTTTTATATAATATCTAATTCTTATATCATATATTTTAAATATATTATTTTTCTTGATTTAACCATATGAAAACAAATATTTATCTTAAGTGCTAAAATCCTTGTAAAAATGGTTTAAAAAAAAGGTAAATCCTAGCAAAAATAACACTCGAAACTCGCCCAGGCAGTACCACCCACGGTGCTATCGTGGAATTTCCCAAATCAAACACGCAAAATGTATTATAAATAATCATGAAGAAGAACCCTAATTTTCATTGCAACAATTGAGTTGTTGGCAGGGAGTGTAGGTAGAAAGGCTTTGTTGCGTTAGGTTCTATAGAATCGGAAGATGGAGGAGGAAGAGCACGAGGTGTACGGAGGAGAGATCCCTGACGAGGGTGAAATGGAAGGGGATATTGACATGTCAGCAGCTGACGATGACGCCGCCGTTAAGGAGCTCGACGAAATGAAGCGCCGATTGAAGGAGATGGAAGAGGAAGCCGCAGCGCTTCGCGAGATGCAAGCCAAGGTCGAGAAGGAAATTGGCAGCGTTCAAGGTTTTTCACCACATATTTTCATTACCATCTGTTCAATTTATCAATTTTATATTATCATCTTTTGATTAGTTGCTATTTTTTTTTTCGTTTCAAACTGATCCTCGAGTTTTCTCATGTCGCGGTTCTTGGATCTTCTTCTAGCCTTGTCGGTTTGATCGAGCTTGAGAGTACTTTCATCTTCATCATCGTTACTTTTTTTTTTTTTTTTTTTTTTTTTGCGGAACGTGAAAATATTCGTCTATCAGAATGCTTTTTGATCTTTGCGCATAGCTAAACCTCAGTCTTGCTTTAAAGTCATTCTTTATGATTATGCATAAAACCTAAATCTTGCTAGAGTTCGAACAATAACCTCTTGAATCTCATCTTCCATTATTATCGATAAAACCTAAAACTCTCCAGGTTTGAGTAGATTTTATGTATTGATATAACCTAAAACACATCAGAGCTTGAATAAAAGTCTCTTTAAACTCGAAATCGTGATAAAGTTCAAATTGGAGTCCCTGTTCCGTCATATTTCAAACATTGCAGAAAATTGCGGACAATAGCAGTGATACCGCTATGTGCTATACCGCTATAGTGTTTTTTGGGGTTAGCTCACACATTATTTGAAATCGATAACTATGCTTGATTCTTAGTTTATAATTAAGGTAATTTCATTTGAAATATTCTTATTTGTATATTCCTTGACTATGGTTAAAGTTTTCGCAAAACATGATGCACAATGTTTTTTGCTGAAGTATGTTTTGTGAAATCTTTTGATTTTACTTAATCGCATTACTACTATCGTAACAGAGTTCCATCATTATTATTATTTTAAATTTCTATTTGGAATATCTTTTGCAGATCCTGCGAATGCAGCTGCTTCTCAGGCAAACAAGGAGGAGGCAGATTCTCGGTCTGTTTTTGTTGGCAATGTATGAATCACATCCTATTCTATTTTTTGTTTACTATCATTAGTTTTTCAAGATTGCATCCGACTACTCTTTCAAGTTGGATAAAATCGTTTACATTTTTCCTAGACAGGACCTGATTTGGTTAATATGAACTTTATTTAGTATATATTTGTAAGTCCTATTTGGCCCCGTGTTGTGTAAGTTGAAACAAACCTACTGGTTTGATTGTTTGAAACTCAAACTGATCTGCCAAATAGGTCGGCCCAGCCCTTGATCTGCTAGTTTACAGGTTGGCTATTAAACCTCCTAATTGAGTATGAATAGGTCAGAACTGCAAGAACCATTTACTTTTTACCTATAACTGGTCTATGGTCTATATGCATCGCTGCACGTGAAAGAATATTAGCTTATATGTGCATGCACACATAGAGACAGTATTTGTGAGTGGTTTGATTTTCTCATCTTGTTTTATGAATCTTCTACTGTTAATCCTGTGTTATTTGGTGCAGTGTAATATTCAATACACTTTTGATAGGTTCTCTAACCAAGATACATAATTGTAAATCACTTTACGTGTTTGGGAGATTGTAATTTGTAATAACTTAACTTTTAGTTTGTTATTTATTCAGTCATCATTCCAAACTTGAGTATACATGTTCCACTTTATGTGTAAAATTATTTATTTTAATCAACTAAGACAATGTGGCACACCATGGCAATGTTATAATATTTTAATTTGCACTAAAGTACTTAGTGATCATCTAAATAAGTTATTATTGCATCAAATACTTACCACTAGAGAAAAAACTTTAGCTTATGGTTAGAGTGCAAATCTTTCTACTTAAGAGTTTAGTAGTTTAAGCACCACACTTTGATTGTGATTTGACCTCATCCGTGGGACAATTGATGCGATTAACAACAATTTCTCCATCAGCAACTGCTTTACTAGAACGTGTGACCTTTGGCTCTGATACCAATTGTTGGATCGAGTGACCAAAATTTATATAGCTTGTTGTAAGGGCACAACTCTTTTCAAGAGTGTAGCAACCCCAAGTGTCATGATTTAATTGTAACTTAACCTACCTATCCTCTACCACAGTACAATTGATCCAATCTCAACAATCTCCCCCCCTTCCCTTTCCAATAATTGCTATGTTTTGTCACTAGGTCCATCTAACATTTGCCACGAGAAAATTGATGCAATCCATGACAATATTGTTGTAAGACTTAAAAATTAGACTTCTTTTAAGAGATCAGTTTCCTTTTATCTTGTCTAGAGTATCAAAGATGTAGTAACTAATTCATCAAAAGCTTTATCAACAAACACAATAACATCATTAACAACCCACTTATTGTATCCATACTAGTCTAATTTGCCCTTCGCTTTGGCTTTCACTAGTATGTTCATACCATTTGTTACCCTCTTAAAGCATTCCATTTATGAAGACCAAAAGAGTTAACCACTCAATATGTTTCTCCTTTGACAAACAACTAGAGGACCAGGTTGCCAATCCAAACCATCGTTGATTTTCAATAAGCTCATTTACCACTTTGACCTTAGAACTCAAGATTACATGTAGTGAAAGTAGACAGGCAATAGTGCCAAATACTTTATTTTTTAATAACTTTCTATTAAGATGAGTGTTGAAGCAACACTAGGAAATATGAAAATGAATCTAACCAAAGTACTATGTTGATTGTTGAATGGGATAAAAGTGAGAATATTTGTAGTTGATGTGAGATCTCTAACAAAAGTAATATCCTGTTTTTTATTTCTACCAAAATTAAATTTTCCAATATTAGATATGGATGTAGTACACAAGGCATATTAGGATTACTTTTAAAGGTTATGCCAATGTGAAATTGTGGAGATGATTATACTTGGCAATGGGATTATATTTCAGTTTCTTTGAGCCTAAGACTCCTCCTTTATTGTGTATGATGTATAACAATTATACAGTGATGATATATTTGTTATTTCATGCAATCTAGAAGTGCTTAGTATTATCATCCATGACTGTTTAAGTTGGATAAATTATTCTTCTCTGTGCTTTTTCCTTAGACCAGCGATAGGGCTCACAAATTTGGTTCAAATTGTCCTGCTGATCCTGGGTATTTGTAAGTGATACATGGAAAAAGTAGTGAAAAACACGCAAGAAACCTTGGTAGTGGGAGTCTGTTATCCAAATCTACTAGAAATTAGAAATACACCTACTAATTAAATTGGAAATTTGAGATTTGGTGAGTATTTTCTTTAGAACTGCCTGATACATTGTGTTAATTTTCTAATCTTTATGTTTTGCTAATGCTATGTGGGGAAATTACCAGTGATCTATGGAAGATTTCTTATAAAATATTTAGCAATCCTTCTCCTTCATGTTGTTGTTTTCATCTGACTGTCCTTTTTTATTGACATTTGATAATTCTTAATTTGAAACTTCTTGCCCTGGTTTTGAAGCATTCTGTAATTGTTTTAGTTCTGTCAATAGAAACTTTGGTTGAATAGGTCTTGAACTAAAATCAAGATGCTTCTTTTTCATTTTTTGCTTTTATTATGATATATTTGAAACTGCATATTCTTTTGCTTTGGAGTGAATACTGATAATATTCAGAGACAGGGTTTGACTTTTGTCTGACTATGATCGCAGGGTCATTCTTGTTACTCAGGTTCTATAATTAGCGCTGGGATGCTTGCATTATATTTTGTTTGTGGACAATGTGATTGATGTCTCTTAGGGTTGTACTAGAGGGGAAAAAATGTATATTGTGCTTGTGAAATTTAATAAGATACATGAAGGAAAACAAAGACAAAAGATTGAGGAGGAAAAAATTTAGTTTCCGAAAGAAAAAAGGAAAAAAATGAAAAAAAAAATTATACAGAAGGAAAAATAGATCAAGTTGAGAAAAAAAGAAGAAATGAGAAAATAGAAGAGAGAAAAAATAGAGAATATGTTGTGGAAACTGTGAATGGCATTTCATGGATGGCTGAAACTGGTACAGCTGGAGTAGAATGTGTTAAAGATGCATCAACTTCACTCCTGGAGGAGACAGCTTGTGGTTCTTTTGGAAGAACATTCTTGTAAGTGTTGGGCATGCAATCCTAGTCTTAGAGCCCTATTGTTGACTGCAGTTAAGTCTGTGGTGCCTTTGTTGTGTGTCATTTGGTTGGCATGTCAATGGCCATGCAGCTTCTGCTTTCATACCGACATCTTATCTCATAATTGTTTTTGTATATGTAAAATTAGACTACCTGATATTTTAGGTCTTTCCTTTCTCATTTCAAGTGTTTTAACAAATCATTGAGTTTCAAGTGAATGATGATTTTGCATTCTTTTTTTTTTCCCTTACGCCTCTGCTATCGCAACTCAACAGAATTTGAATAGTGCAATTTTTACAGAAAGAGTTACAATTCTGACCAATATGTTTAGGCTTTGCTTGTACATCCTTTATTGGTGATGCATTACTTCTTTGCTTATTCATGGGGGTAACTTGTAGACCAGAAAAAGATTGGTGCTATTGTAAATGGCTATGAGAAGAATGAAAGTAGAAGGGAAGTTTTTTCTCGAGTTTGAGGAGGGCCTGTAAAATGACTATGAACATTAACTGAAATTTATGTATAGGGTGCATAGCTTGGTAACGTTGTGTTTGGGATGTCATGCAGATAGGAATTGGTGGTTTATGGAGTTAGAAGTGTTGAAATTCTTCTGATGTTTAAGGAGTTGGGAAGATGCATATCTCTGTATGTTGTAGGTTGAAATAATAATTTGTCATTAATTGCTTGAGATTTAAGAGGGTGGCGGGTCAGATTGAAAGGGTATATGGAGTAATAGCTAGTGAAATTCTTCTGTTGTTTGAGGCGTTGGGAAATGCATATTACTGTTTATGGGTTGCACTAATGTTTGTCTCAGTTAGAGGGTGGTCTGTCTGAATTTTAATGTTATTATTTTTCTGCATTCGTTTTAGTGACAAAAGTAATAATGTAAAGATTTCAATAGAAAAGGTAATAATGTGAAGATAGAATTGTAGGATAATAGAAATTATGGTCCAGAGTTTCTCATAAGAATTGTCCTGAATCATTTATGCTATTCCCAATTAAATAATTCATAATTGAGTTAAACTTTTATATTTTCAATTTTACTAGTAGTGTTGTAAGTAAAGAAAGATATTTGCGTAATATTTTATTTACTTGAACAGTATTATCATATATATGATGTAATGATATTAATCTGGAATCTAGTTTGTTTCTTATGATAACTGAGTCAACTGTAAGCCCCTTTTTGATTATCATGATTCCCGCATCAAATTCCCTTGAAATTGATTTGTGTTTTACAGGTTGATTATGCATGCACACCAGAAGAAGTGCAGCAACACTTTCAATCCTGTGGTACTGTGAACAGGGTCACTATCCTGACAGACAAGTTTGGCCAGCCTAAAGGTTTTGCTTATGTGGAATTTGTTGAAGTTGAAGCTGTTCAAGAGGCTCTACTCTTGAACGAATCTGAATTGCATGGCCGGCAACTGAAGGTACGCTGGGACCATTGAGTTATTATTTGAGCTAGGTTACTACTGTTTCAATCAGCTAAGAGATAGTAGTGTTTAATCATTTGGATACTTAATACTTCTAGGTTTTGCCTAAGAGGACCAATGTCCCTGGAATGAAACAACATCGTCCTAGACGGTTTAATCCTTACATGGCATATGGCTTCAGGAGGCCATATACTCCTCCTTACTTTTACTCCCCTTATGGATATGGGTATGTTGCACTCCTCTAAATTTTCATGTTATGACCACAGTAGTTTTCATTCGTATTCTGTTTTTTTTTTTCTTCATTTCCATTAAATATCCTGCAGGAAGGTTCCTAGGTTTAGAAGGCCAAATCGTTACATGCCGTACTACTAGAAGTTGCATACGGAATGTGTTAAAATATGAAGATGGTGCGTCCTGAAGCAATAATTTTTTTATTTGGGCATCGTTACTATCTTCATTCAGTATTATATACTCTGCGATTGAGTGTCTTAGTCTTAGGATGCTTGAACTTCTATTTTTCTTGCGTAGTTATTGGACGATGGTTTACAATTGCCATTGAATATTATGTTAATGACTTTTCTGTCTTTATAATTTATACTAACCAATGATGTACCCTTTGGTAAACTCACCCACCCTCCTCTGGCCGGTGGCACCAAAATTTGATCAAAATCACCAATTTAAATATGTCATCGAATCAGAATTGAAGCATGAATGGCGTTTTAATGGAGTATTTTGCGTTATGACTCGAGACATATAGGTCATAAGACAATTTCTATCTTCCTCCCCCTTCTATGACGGGTGTTCATATTAACTGGTTTATAAAATTTAACTATAGTTATATTTAATCAGTAATATTAATTTTGGTTATTCATTTTCCTGAAATGGTTGGATAATCAATATAATCAGCCACCGATCTGTCATTGAGAACATTAAACCATCCTTCGTTTCTTGTTTTTCTTTTTAGAACTCTAACCTTTGGTTCTCTCGTAAGTCCGAATTGTGTACTCAACCCCTAATTATAATATTTTAGGTTTGTGAACCATGGATGCCTAATCGCTTACCTTTCTCTAGATTGTTTCTGGTTTGAGGTTAAATTCATTGTATGATAAATTACATACGTGTTTCCAAGGGGGGCAGAAAAATCCTGTTTAAACAGTTTTAAAGCTCTGATTCTAGACTGGCTAACAATTTTGAGTGTTTTTTTTTAACGATCTTCCTATTAAGCAATTTGTCAGGAAATGAATTGTTTTCATTTTGGTGAGACCGAAGAAAGATAGGGCCGGGTTCTGATTTGAGTCCTAATTTATGCCGAAGTTTACGTTACAAGATATAATTTCTTTGAGTTGACTTTGGGTTAAAATAAAGCACTTTAAAAATTTTAAGTTTCAGTTTTAATGTCACATGAAAGGTACTAAATAGAATGTATCATGTTTAGTTATCCTACCTTTGTAATTGTTTATTCTAATTCTAATCCCAGGTCATTATGCATAAATCTTTATGTATAAAACCCAAATAGTTAAAACATTAAAGCCATTAAAAAGGTCTCAAAATGATGTTGAAAATTTAACATTAAATGAATGTATTTTGTCCCGATCTTCCCCTGATTGTTTTAACCGTCTCTCATTTTCGGATTAGAAATTAAGTATACTCTCTATTTTATATTATTTCTAAAAAAATAATTATATTTATAATAAACTAATTTAATATTATATATATATAAATAAATAATTTTAATTTTAATTATTATTATTAATTATAGTTTATTTTTAAATATTTATATTAAATATGTATGTGAAAAAATATTTAATTATTTTTTTATGAATATAAAATATTTTTATTATATATATAAGTTAATTATTTTTTAAGATGTAATTTTAAAATATTAATAAATATGAAATATATAATTTATAAAAAAATATTTAGTAAATTAATTCTTATTTAATTAATTTAAAGGAATAAAAATTTTAATTATCAATTATTTTTAATCCTTCAAAATATAATTATTTTATTAAAATAAAATTTGATATATAATAAATAATAATAAAATTTAAAAAATATAATATAATAAAATTTAATAATCATAAACTAGAAATAGAATAATATTAATTATTACTAAGATATATAATAATTCAAAAAATTAATTTTATATTTATCAAGATTGAAAATATTGAAAAATTATATTAATTTAAAAGATTAAGAAAATGAAAAAGTAAAAAATAATAAAAATAATATAATAAATAGATTGATTTAAGAAATAAAAAATAATAAATAAATAAAAATGAATAATAAATAAATAAAATATAAAAATATAAAAAAAAATATTAATATTTTAAAAACTAATGGTGAGAACACAGTAAAAATTGTATTATCACTCTTGTCTCTCATTTTTTAAAGTGAAATCCAAATCTTCTCAGTAATTTTTAAAACGAGTAAAACTCAAATATATTCCCTCACTCACTCTTTTTTCTTTGTCATGGAAACGGATTGATCATGCGGGAGACGAGTTTAATATAATTATCCTACCACTTTTTCTATTAGCTATTAAGTAAAATAAATTTCAAATATTTCTGAAATATGAAATCCTAGTTCAGCTACTATCAGCAGCGATGATACGGGGTGGCTGCATAGACTGGAGTCCTGGAAGCTATCGTCGCCAAAGCTCACAAACCAACCCGATATGATGTGATATAATATAACTAGTACTGTAACCATTTTCCAATCAATGTTGCTTCTGCTACTCCATTCACACTAAAGCACTTCGCAACTTCCAACAAACAATGCTACTCACGTGTCACCACCACCCTTTCTTATATTCCCCTTCCTCAATCTGCGCAACCACCAGTAACAGAAACTGCAATCTCTCACTCTCCCTCTCCATCATAACCTCGCGCCCGCTCCACCTCACCATCCCAAACCGTAATCTCACCGCTCATCGCTTTAATTCCCTCACAGTGCGCGCTGACTCATTTCCCCCTCGATCCCAACATGTTACCGCCGATTCCAATTTCGACACTCTGCTTTCGTTCCTCGAATTCTCCTGCCTGCTCTCTTCCGCCATCGTGTCCTCCGTCGCAGCCGTGGTCGCGGCGTCCAAGAGCGCGCTACTGGCCGGGATCGGCACCAGAACCGCTCCGTTTGGCGTCGTGATGCTCGTGGTCGGGGTTTTGATAGGCGCGTGGATTCGGAGGCGGCAGTGGAGGCGCGTCTGTGTGGAGAACGGGAAGGGTGGGTTGGAGGTGAACTTGCACCAGAGGATTGAGAAATTGGAGGAGGATTTGAGGAGTTCCGTGGCGGTTGTTAGGGTTTTGTCACGACAGCTCGAGAAATTGGCGATTAGGTTTAGGGTTACGAGAAAGACCTTGAAGGATCCCATAGCCGAGGTAACTACTCTCTCTTTTTGGGCACGTGGTTCTTTTTTTTTTACTTTAACGTTTGGAATATGGTTGTTTGTTGAGTTAGTTAGCTTGGATTTCATTCACCAAGGAAATCCATCAAAGATCATATATGTAATGCATGATTGGCAACATCGAATGTTTAAAAATTCTGAATGATGACAACTGAGCTTTAGAAAGTGTTGAGTAATATGGTGTGACTTTAGGGTTTTGGTGTGATATGAAGTGAGGTTGTTGGATGATACTAGTACATAGGTCAAGTAGTAGTTATAGTCTTGGTACAATAAGGCTGATACCATAGTAGCTTTCACGATTTTAACAATAGTAGTAGTTAATAGGAAGCCTCTTGATACAATAAGGCTGGTAGCATGATAAGCTTTAACGATTTTAACCATAGAGGTACTGCAAACTTTTAAGATTCTGATTCATAGCCAAATTTGGCAGCCCTTCATTATATATTCATGACAAAAAGACATTAATATCCTTTATTTTTCTGTCCGAAGTTCTTATTAGATAAATAGATTCATGAAATCATCACAGGATTCCGTTCCATAGCTGTAGTCAAGGATCAACTTTCCTAAAAACTTAAGCTGTCCCATGAATGATTTTACATCTTCCACACTTGCTGATTCTAGAACCCTTTGAGCTCGTAATATGTGCTTTGGCAGCTATGCACAGGCTTATTTTATCTTGCATTGAAATTTAACTTCATATAGAGTTGGGGTGGCAAGGGTTGCAATAATGATTACCTGCGGAGTGTTTGGTTGCGCATTAGAGATTAGAGAAGATTGATGGCATCTTGTCGGAGCTAATTCTACTAGCTTCTGCTTCAATTTTATGGATTGGATGTGGAAATCTGTGAATACTTTCATTGTTGAAGCACCAAACACACTTGAATCATGTGCAATACAAAAATTTCTCCCCCAAAGCCCAAGTTGTTATATGGAAGCCCTATAAATGGGTTTTTATTTAACGGGTGTCCAAACATTTTTCTCCTTCTTCTTTAGATTTGGGTCTTTCTTGAGCATCATTTTATGTGTCATCTGAATTAAACTTCATCTCCTTTTGCTCCTTACTGAGCTTGTGTTAGCTATTTGGTTCAGATTTCAGGTATTTTTACTTGCTTCTTTAACACTAGCTGCCTTTACCGTTGCTGATACTCATGTGTCAGTTCTTCATTGTCGTTTCCAAAGAAGTCTTCACCTTCAGTACATGGTTCAATATCCATTGATGGTGATCCTCCACTATTCTCAGATTTAGTTTATTTACAAAACCCTAAGCTGCTAATAGTCGGTGGTTGCTTAAAACCAATTATTTTCTTTATATTATGATTAGACCCCATTGCATCACAATTAACAGGTTAGCTTGTCTTGTGGTCATTTTACAACTATCAACATTCAGCACATAAGATTGACTACTGATTAAATTCAATAAGGCACTGAAATTGACCAAGCACTGGAGTTAGTTGCTGAGGTATTTGTAAGTATTGCTGGCTGTTTAAGTAAAGCTGAATGGCAGCAGCTCAAGGTAGATAATTAGAGTTAGAAATATGCTCAGTTGTTGGAGTTGTAGAGCCAGATACCATAGAACTAGACACTTATGTTTTGCTGATTCAGGAAGACATTGCAGATGTCATTGTAGAAATAATATTGAAGTGAATCAAGGGATATATGCCATCAACTAGAAGCAGAAACACTGCAATCCTACACAAAAACAATGCCAAGCAATACCAATTACTTCCAAACAATGGAAGTCAATCCATCTGGGGGAACATCCCAACAGCACATCAAACCTGGAAAGAATAGGTTCAACAAGGCCAATATGGAGGCTAGGGATGAAGGCCAGACAAGTATAGCAGAGTGAAACCCAAGGACACTGTGGTGGAGTGATGTCACTCCATTTCAGTGATAGACTGAGGCATAATGTGTAGTGTAGACATACTTTTCTTAAATTACATGAAAAAAAGGGATTAGTATGTTTTTGGTCTCCGTATTTTGTTTCAGACTTGTCTTTAGTCCTTATATTTTCAAATTGATAAACACAATCATCCAAGTTTTGAAAATTAACATTTTTTTACAATCACAAAGTTGATAGAAAGACTATTCACGTTCTTTTATTTTTCTTTTGAAAGAGCTGACCAATTAATCAACTACAACCAAATTTGACAAAAAGTACAAAAATTAAAAACATATTTAACAAAAAAAAATGATAATAAATACGATGATGGTCAAAGTTAAAGAAGATGAAGCTTAATTGACAACTTATCTGTAGTTGTATTAAAAATATTGAAATAGGCAGGAGCATTTGCCCCCTCACTGATGAATGTTGGTTCGTCTGTGCTCCATTTAATGTTTACACATCAGCACAAACATTTGAATTTGTTTTTGTTACTTCTTAAATGAAACATATTGTAAAATATACTGTAATAACTCTATTAAAATTTTAATTATTTTTAATATTTATCTTTATACCTTTCTGTACCTTTTTTTTTTTTTTTTAATTTTGCCTTTCTATTTATATATCATGCACATATGACATACCCATATGGCCATACCCTGTGCCTCGGGTATTGATTCATTTGTGCAGCATGTACTAAAATAAGTTTTTTGTAACTACATTTCATTTGAACTCAATTGCTAGTACACGGAAATTTCTTTTTTATTAATAAAATTTACGTGTACAATAACTTCATATTTATTAGCTCCCCTACTTTGAATCAATGCTTGATGTTTAATAGATGGAAAAGATATATAATTATTTGTTCATTTCTTGAAGACTGCAGCTTTGGCCCAGAAGAATTCTGAGGCTGCTAGAGCATTAGCAGTGCAATCAGATATTTTGGAGAAGGAACTTGGTGAAATTCAACAGGTTTTACTAGCAATGCAGGTAATCCTCCGCCTTATGTTACTTGAATTCTGCATGACAGTGTAGTCACCATTTACAAATCAAATATGCATGTTTATGACTGGACTTTGGGTTGTTTGAATTATTTTGTTTGTAATTGTATTATATAATAATTTAGATTACAAATATTTTTGGATCTATAGTGTACCTAAGTTTTGGTTTTGGTCTCTATATTTTAAAAGTTTGTTTTTAAACCCTTATTGATTAATTTTTTTCTAGACTTTGGTCCCTGTAGGTTCTTTTGATTTGGGTTTTAATTCTTATATAGTTAACTAGGCCTTGATCTTGATATGGCTATCTTTTGAAGGTCAAGTGGCGTATTGCTAATAGCAGGAACTAAAACCTAGAAAATATTAAATTTATGTAGATTATAGGGACTTAAAGTATATTAATATTTATGTGTTAGTTTATGGGTGTATGTTAACAACCTTGGGTGATAACATATACTCAAATTTTAAGGGTATATTAGCGAACTCATGGCCTGTTTGTTTTAAAGTTGGAAGAATATTTTTGGACGGCTCAATATAATTGGGATGTGTATTCAAATTGCGCTGACACAAATTTTACATTTGGAACATGTGTGGTGTGGGAAATTATTGGGTGTAAAACAAGTAGCTGTATTTTAGCAATCTCTTACACACTACTCAATCTTTAACTGCCTTCTAATATCACTGTTTTTTTAAATTTTCTTGAATGTAAAAAGTTATACTTTGATCTTGGATCTAATTTGACAATATATGGCTTACTTAATAAAAACTTTCTTGACCACTTTACTTGTCAAAGTATCCTCATTTTTTTATCATCGAATTTGAATTATGGTGGTTGTGTCTGAGTTCATGTAGGAACAACAGCGAAAACAACTTGATCTGATTCTTGCAATCGGGAAGGCTGGTAAGCTATGGGAAAGCAGCCACCAAACCAGTGATCCACGCGATACATTAGAAATGTCTAACTCAGCTGAGGCTGTGGCAAAACAGGAGGTGCACCAAATATGAATATTGCGTTAAAATAAGAGGAAATTCATGAAATTTCGGAATGGCAAATTATGATGCAGAATTCATTGCTTTTTGCTGTGTACACTTAATCATAGATTGTTACACAAAATCAAAATTACCAGAATTTATCAGCACGTAAATAATGATTACTTTTTTCCAGAGTACCTCAAAGCTGTGGAATTACAGGTGAGTAGAGATTACTCGGAGAGTCAAGACGAACTAAGGTAGGAGCATTTTGTTGAACTCTGTCCAGTTCTGTGGTAGATGTTCAGAATGTATCTGTCGGGTTCTTTCTGCTTGTGCATGTACTTTGAATTCAAATATGTAAGCTGTCCCTCAATTTTCATTCTACAGGCTTATATTGGTGGTATAAAGGCTCGGTATAATAGTTTTTTGGTCCCCTGCATGTTTCTGTGTCATTAAAATAAACCTTCAATTTTCATTGATAAAGGTTGAAATGTCTATTGGTCATGGTAAATTACCCAAAATAAAATCTATTCCAAGCTTCAGCACCTCCTATACATATTCGTGCTTAAGATTTTTGGTCTAAAGACTTTTTGATCCCCTGCAATATATATTCTGTTTACTGTAATCAGCATTTCAACAACTGCTCAACCTATTGGGCCCTGCTACTGCTAAACTGATTGATCCTATCCTTTTCGGGCTAATTCTCCATGAACTCTGCTCTAGAAAAACGATTGCGTCATCAGTTGCAATCTTTTCATGCCTCCAACATGAAAGCGTCCAATGTTAGCTATGTTCAAAGTAAAACTGTCTCTTCCCCCTTCCTCCTAATGAAGAATTTATGAAACTCAACTGTGATGGGGCTTTGAATTTGCAATTCATAGGTGCTGTGCAGGTTGCATCCCTTGGGATCACCTTGGCCATTTTATAGTAGGATCAGATCATCTTTGGGATCTTGTACTGTCCTAAAGGTGGAGTTTTGGGGTATTTATAAGGGACTACTGCACACACTGTCTATACGGGGTTTCAAGAGAAATTTAGGGGAGATTGATTCTCTGTTTCCACTATTCTAATTAGCAAAGGTTGGCATCCATCTCATCATTGCTTCTCTATGGTTAAAGCCATTTTGCATCTTGCTAACAAGCTGATTACATTTCTTGGGCCCATATGTATCAGGGCAAACTTTCCAGTGATGTTCTTGCCATGTTTGGAGACAGAAACCAGAATTCCCCCCAGTCACCCCTTCTTTTTGTATGTCCCTTTTCTGTGGGATGGTTCAACCACAGGTTTCCATAGATAGCTTTCTTTTTCTTTGCCTTCTGGCTCGTTTTATAATAGCAATAACATAAAAATAGGCGAAGGACCAAAAACAAACTTGGTTCTTTACAAACTAAATATTAACTATGTTTAAATTAGTAGATGGTACCTGTGATAGATGTCTACATTTAATGAAACGTAAGCAGAACATATTTTTCAACGCACTTGCAGTTATATATAGTGCATCTTTTAGTTGATGTTATCCTGCTGATTTTGAGTGTTTTTTTTTTATGCCTGCATGATTCTGAGGAAAGAAACAGAAAATGAAAATAGAGAATAAATATCTGAGAAAGAAAGGTAAGAAATAAAATTAGATGTTTAATTGTTTGGTGTTTTAGAAATAAGTTAGAAATAGTGTTTTGAAAGTTGTATAATTTGATTGAATTGATAGGAAATACGAAAAGTGGGGATATCAATGGAGTAATATGAAAAATAGTTTGATGGATTCCACTATTATTTATTTATTTATTATTATTTTTTATGGTTGTTTGGATTGAAGAATATATTTGAGCAGGTAGAAAAGGTATGAAAGAGAGTAAAAGGTAGAGTTGTTTGAACGAAGAGAAAAGAATGAAAATGAGTGGAAAGTAAAATAAATTGATTTATTATTAATAATTTTGTTTATTAATTTAATGTTTTTAAAATTATTTATGATTATAATAATATAAAAATAAGAAATATATTATTTAAAAATTGCAAACATAATCTATTGTAATATTATACCTAAACGATTATTTATTTATATAATCAATTATGATTATATTATAATTGATTATACACTTTTCTTCGGATAAGGGAAAAGAAGAATTTTTTTGTCCGGTTTTGAAAAATTATGTACTGAACTACATGAAATCTTATGTACTGAAATACATGAAATCATATATTTCCACGCTCTAAACAAGGAGATACTTCATCAAACAAATATAATTAATTCTCTTTATTAAACAATAAATAATCCAATGTTCTCAATTGTGACTGTGAAATGGAATTCATTTGTCCTTAAGGAAAAAGTACATATATTTCGTCTTTAATATCTTTATTACTAACGAAAATAAAATGATCATGTCTCGTTTTATCTTATTTTTAGTTCATTAAAAATAAGATAAGTAGATTCACCTATTATAATTATGATAAATTATAAATTCTAATTAGTCTTGTCAAAGAACAGAAATAAATCTCATTAATAATTTTTTTTATATAAAATATTTTATGTATATTTTTAGAAATATATTTTTAATTATATAAATAATTTTTAAATTATTATTTATTAAATATTATTTTTATTAAATAAATAAAACATTATTATATTTATATATTAAAATAAATATAATTAATAATTTAAATTTAATTACTTAATTTTTATATTTTAAATTAGAATATAATAATATATTTATATAATTCAATAACATAACATAAAATATATAATATTTTTAATTATAATATTTATTTTAATTTTAATATATAAATATTTTTTTAGAATGCATCAATATACTATTATTTTCTTATCTTTTTGGAGTTAGTAACCTAAAATTATTAATTCACTCTCTTATTTTTAAGATTAATAAACTAAAATTATTGATCTATTCTACCATATTTTTTTTATTATTATCCCATTTCTCATGAACCTTCTTCCTTAAAAGAACAAATAGAATTTGGTTTATATATTCTAAAATTCTAGACAAGCTCAGTGGACAGAGAATGTTTTAGGTTTCAAAGTCATTCACGGGGACATAGTCTAACACAATCGAATCCGTGCTTCTTTATCCATGTATCTCATATTTCACACGATTGATTATATTTTGCGTTAACTTCCATTAGGTTTTTATATTTTTATTTTTTTCTTTGGTAGATTTTTACAGCTTAAAAGTTTGTAAATTATTTTTATGTATTTAATGTAACTGTATATTTAAGACTCAATTTGACCTTGTATCAATTGATTCATCGACTAATTGCGTGGAATGTTAAAACCTGCTAATTATTGTTAAATCACAAAGCCTTATTATATGTCAACTGTTTGAATTCAGATAAAAACACTAAACACTCTTTGTAGGTAAAACTGGATTGGATTGCCTAGATGGCTAGAATGCAGACTGCAATTATTCATTTCCTTGTTTGTGGTCACAATTGTCGAAACTATCAACGCCACTAAATCCGGGATTGCATGTGAATGTGAACCCAAGCCATGGTACTTTGTTTTCGAAACAATAATAAAATTTATATTCAGTATTCAGAGCGAGCAAGGATTTGGAAGGTACATTAAAATAGAAGTAAGAGAAGCAGAGCGAGAGTGTCCTCGTCTTTTGCGAGACCTTTTTACTCCGCTAATGGTAAAAGTAATTGAATCCTGGACTAGAAGAAATCTCGGGAAAAATAAAAGCAATGAAGTAAAGATTGCTTTAGTTGTTTTTATGATGATCAGCACATCATTTGATTTGTGACTAGCAGAGTTTAGAAAGAAAGGGTAAAGCTGTAGAAAATGGAAAGATTTTAATCTTTACAGAGACATCTTTTGCAGCTCTCAGTGGCAAAAAAGATGCATAGGTCTGGTCATTCACACAATCACAATCCCTCTCACCTTCTCAGTGCAACGTCAATACTCTAATGGCAGCTTTGACTAATTGAAAGCTGTAGAGTCGCGCAGTAAGGAATCCCGAGACCTCGAAAAGGAAACTGAAACGAGAATAGTTTCACATGCCCTTTAAACTTATTTGGTGTGAAATGCTTTCTTGATGTGTGCTAGATCAATTTTAGAAATTCACCTTTTAGGATACATGACAGCCATCCAAATCATTTCCAAAATCTTCATATACACCTTATGTTAAAATCTGTGTTTACTGTTTTTCATTACAAAGTATGAGAATTTTTTAACGATAACCTATGTACTACAATGGATGGTGTTACACAAAAGCATTAAGGCAAGGAAAAAGGAAAAGTATTATCATTATTATCTCCCTCTACTTTTATCATACAGTGTGTGTATATAGATATATATTCAATAGTGCAGAAATAGTATGAGTTTGCTTTTCTCATTCCCAACAAAACTGTACTGCTTGTTGGTGTAATGAGTTTTTGTGTATATATAGAGTGTTGCTAATATAGAGCTATGATTATTATTATTTTTGTAAATCATACTTGTGATACCAAAATTTTGTAAATTCATTTGATGTTTCAGCACCATTTTTTTAATTGTGATTAGAATTAGTTATATTTATCATCAGTATATGATTGATGTTACACTAAGAAGTAAATTGATTTTTGGATGAAAGAACTGCAATTTTGGAAAATGCATAAAGTTGAATTTAATAAGAGTCCCCATCAAATCAATTTAACATGATATTAACTATGGGACCACTTCTGTAGGAGTGCTATTTGAAAGAAAATAGGTAATAAATACAAGTACTTAATCATTCAATGTCTTGGCCTCTATACAAACTTGAGGGGCTCAGTAATAATTAATATTTTACTCGCAAAATCTAAAATCTTGCATTTTAGCCAAAACATTACTCATTATTTACTGCACATTTTCAGGGAAAAAACACAAGCCATACAAACCATTTGCACTAGCAGCCATAATCAGGTGCAAAAAGTCCTGAATGTAAGTAATCCAAGTCAATGACAGTCAAACAGATGAATCTCTAACTGAGGACTGAGACAAAAATTAGTTAGCATAATAAATGCCAATTTGAACTACCCTCTCCTGTCTGTGATATTTTTAAACACACACAAAGGACAAAGCCATTTGTTATCCACACAGTTTCTAATAACCAGGCTCAAAGTCTCAAGCCTCAAACTACTAATAGAACGCTGTCCAAGGGGGACCCTTGATACTGATGTGGATTCTCCCAATTTGCTTAACCCTCTTGAGTCGTTCCTTTCACTTTTCTGCTACACTCTGCACTCTGCACCCCCTCTTTCTCTCTCTACTTGCTTGCTGCCAACACATCTTCCAATTTATGTACCTCTCTTCTCCTCTTCCCTCAGGCTATACGCCATGACAAGAAAAGCACTACTCTACACTAGAAAATAAGCAAAAGCCATCTTCCTTTTTTATCTTTTCTCTTTCTGCTACACCGTGTTTCTCTCTCTCTCACTCTTGCTTTGCTTCTTCACAAGTTGATAAAGTTTCTTCAGAGGACTGGCATCCGGATCTCAGTTAACTTACAATAAATTTTTCCACCTAGTTTTCTCTTTTAGATGGGGAATGACTTCAAGGGGTGACATGATATGCATTCATGGCTTCACTTAATTCATATCATTACTACACAACCACCTCCTTGCTTGTCATACTTCTGCTCCACAATTTGCTCTCTCTAGTTTCTCCCTCCAATCACCCTCACCCTGCAATTTCTCCAAGGGTAAGCTCTAATTGTAGCCATGTTTGTTTATACCCTCACCGGTATCCTTGCTGTAATATCACTGCTTCAAGTGTGTGTGTGTGTGTGTGTAAATGATCTAATAAGAATTTTACAAAATGTGTTTGGTATATGCAGGAACTTTTATTTGAGGAGAAAAACAGGCTGGGTTCTATTCCTCCTAGCTGTCACAACAAGTGCAATGATTGTCATCCATGCATGGCAGTTCAAGTGCCAACTTTGCCTAGCCATGACTCTAACCCTCCAGATCTTACCAAAACTTCTGCTATGGCAAGTTTTCTTAACCCTTCTTCTCCCCAAGGTAACAGGTACTCCAACTACAAGCCATTGGGGTGGAAATGCCATTGTGGTGACCACTTCTTCAACCCTTAGAAATTGTACACCTTAATTTGTAAAATGGAAATTGGCCCTCCTATTATTTTTTGGTTGAATTGTTATTTTGTGGTTTAGGGGTCGGCTAGGGTAACAGATTTGCGTCACTTGCGTCAGCATGGATCCTATACATTGGAGTTTGATACACTTGTACAGAGTTTGTTACAGACCTGAATTCCAACTTTTTTTATTATTATTATTATTATTATTATTATTATTATTTTATGTTGCCTCTGATCTTTGAGAAAGTTTTACCCTTGCTGCTTTTGTGTCTGTTTATTAAGGAGTTCCTGATAACTGATTAAGGATTAATTGCTAATTTTGTGTCCAACCAGAACATAAGGCAAGACGAGTTGTGTCTTGTCATTTCCCTCGTTTCTTTTTTGTTTTTGGAACCCATCATAACCTCTTCTTCTCTTATCTTGGAATTGTTTTGTTGTGTCTCACTATCCTTCTCTTATACATATATATCAGTAATTTGTCTGTAAATTTTACTCATTCTCAATGATAATCAGTTGTTCAATACGTTAATTATGACAATTCGTTCTTATTGATTTCAATGTTTTTTTTTAATAATATGCATTAAATGTTGTTATTATTGATAGACTTTAACATAACAAGATAAGTATATTTTGTTTGTTAAATAATTTTGATAAATTTAACATTCATGCTTGTTTTTGTTATAACGTCTTTTGAATTATTGTTTGTTTGCTTTTTTGGTAAAATCTCGTGGTTTTAGTTTTTAGTAAAGAATAAAATATATACTTTTTGTTTTGTAAGAATTAAAGCCGTCAATCCAACCTAGCTAGGATTGTCTTCCAAAAAAAAAAGTAAAATGTAACAAGTATGTCTTATTATTTTAAGATAGAACATTAAACTTTAAAGGCTCTAAATGTTTGAAAACTAAAGTAAAATTCACTTGTAACACAAAACACTGTTGGTTTGGTGTTGAGAAAATAACAACGTAGAGTATTAAAAGATATGAATTTGTTTAATATTATTGCTCTAGTTTATTTTGTATATAGGCTTTAATCTCAGGAAACAATAACTTGCTTCTTTCTTTTGTGCTCAGTAATTTTTATTTTTATTTTTGTTTCTTTTTCTTAGATTGTCAATACTATAAAGTTGAATTAAAATTTGAGTATTTTTATTAAATTAAATTATGTGATTATTGATTAAAAATCCTGTTATGTTAGCTCAATATTAAATCATTTTTTAAGCATTTTTTGTCTATAAGTTCATAGCATAATAAAATAGAAATATATTTTTATTAAAAGAATTTATTATATGATTTTTTTAAAATTAATATCTTCTCTATGTAATTAACATCAATTATCTTTTATTAATTTTTTAATCAAATTTATTTTTTTATTATTAAATATACTGTCAGAATTGTTTTAATTTAATAACTATGTCAAACATAAATTAATTATCTAAATTCATTCTAAATCATGTGTAAGTTTAAAAAATAAATGAAGTTTAATTTTGATAGGAGTGAAAGATTTTACATATTTGGAAATACAATTTATATTAAATCTCTCATATTATATTATCAAGCTTTCAACTTAAATAACTAAGAATAATATTTTTATTAAAGATAACTACAAAACCATCATTAATAAAAAAAATTACCTTAATTTTTGAATTAAAAAAAAGTACGTGATATTGAAAAAAATTGTCTACACATAGATTTACTTTATCCAATGTGTTTTTACGTTCCCAACCAACCAATTAATACTGAAATTGAATAAACCCACATTAGTGACCAGAATGCACATCAGAATATGGTTTGTTATTGAAAGAAAATTAAATCTGTGGGAGAAAAAAAAAATAGAACATGGGAGGGTTGTTTAGAAAATAAAATGAAAAAGGGGTGTTAAATAGCAGCAATTTTTACTACTGCTTTTTATCGGTTTTGGTTCTAGCTTTTTCCTGTAAAAATTAAAGCTTTTCGAAAAGTTTCTGCTTTTTACATTTCTAAAATAGTATGTTCATGATTATTTCAGAAAAATCATTTTGTAATATAAATCTTATTACGAGATATTATTGAATGGCTTAATAAAATAATAATCGAAAGTTAAAAATCAATTTTGGATTGTGTAATTTTAAATGGAAAAATATGTATTTCACAGCATATTTGTCCTAATATTCCTTTTTTGGGAATGAATAACCAAGAAGCTTTTTGATATATTGTAGATTATGTTATAAAAAGTGTAAGAATTTAAAAATGTTATTTTTATGAAAAAGGAGGTACAGAGAGAAATAATGGTGGTACAGTAAATAATTGCCTTCCATGAGATATAATTGAGCCTGCAGGGCCAGTCAATGATAGAGTAATGGAAGTTGGATCACTCAAACAAAAACAAAATCCCCTCCTACACACAACAATTATTTACAATATTCTATTGCATTTGTTAAATTAAAACATATATATATATATATATATATATATATATATAAAATTAATATTACAATATTATTTAAACTTGAGAAGAGACATTTATTTAGTAAGATCATTCTTGCATCCTCTATTAAAAAAAAAACTAAACATACAAAAACAATAAATTTGTAAAATTTATTATTTAAATAAACATTAAAGTTTAATAAGTCAAATTATTAAATTCATATAATTATTTTTTAAATAAATATTAAATTTTTAATGTAAAAATAAGTTTTTAGAGTTTGATATAAGTATACCTTGCAATAAAAACCCAAATTCAATTAAAACTGAGATGAACTTATTTCACTTTTTTTTTCCTCCTACAATGTAGAATAATTTTTCTGATATATTTTTTAGATCTTACTCTATTGAAATATTTGCATAATGTCACATACATAATTTTATTGCCTCACTAAATCGGTCATTTATATCAAAATTATCACCGAAATATTTAAAAATACCAAAATAATTACATATGATTTATAAAAAAAATTAATTTAAAGAGCTAGTATAATGGTGATTTATAAAATTCAGACTTCTCGTTAAATACATAAATAATTAATATAACTTTAATTTTAAAAATTAATTTAGTGGGTGTGCCAAACCCTTGCTTTAGTGCAACTCATGGGTAACACCTTATAATTCCCATAGCAAGCTATGAAATGAACCCTCCCAATAAAAAATTAACTTAATATCAAGTGAACATCTATCATATATTAAACTAATAAGAACATATATTATACTTATCTTAGTCAAAAGCCGAAAAAAGTATAATTAATTATACTTTATGAAATTGTAAGAAAAATTGTGTTTTTGTAACACTTTATGATTAACACAATCTACAACTAATGGAAGGAGGTTATGTAAGTATAAAAGTTACAGGTTGGATCCTGATATATGACAAATTTAGAGTGGTGTAATTTAATATTGATATTGTGAAAATTCGGTTAGCTTTTTAAGACTAAAGTTTGAAAATTGAACTCACTATTTATTTAGAAGGAAAAATTTTACAAAGGAAATACTTATGAGAAATTTGTCCAAATTTTGATCTTATGAGAAAACTAATTTAACATTCATTACCATTACTTTTTTTTTCTACTTTTCAATAGAAGGATCCTGCAAGTAGTTGGTGCTTAAATTAGTATTTTATTTCAGGTTTCAACAACATAAATATTCTTTTTGCCCTAACAAAATATAATATGAAGTTATTTCTTTATTATTAACACAATTTTTTTAAACATATGTTATTAACCACATCTTTAAAAATTCAAACATTATCTAACTTTTAAATTCGTTTGCCAATTAAATTTTCAGTGTCACACACACAACAAAAATATAATGTTTCTCATCAATATGTTATAAGTTACATAAAAAAGAAAAAAAAGTCAATTTCATAATATTGATAGACTTAAGAAACATTGACTTAGTAGTGCCAGTTCATTTAAAATCATGAAACCTATATAAAATTAAGAAGAAGAAAAACATCTAAATAATTGAATTTAATGTCCATTAAAATTGGGAAAAAAACACAAGAGAAGAGAAACTTAAAAAACAAATGCAATACATAAAAAGAAACACACCTTGTGAGAAGAAACATAAGAAAGACATCAATCAAAATTATTAGTGAGAAATTAGAAGAAAGGATAAATAAGAAAATGATGAAGAAAAAGACATGGAGTACAAATGAACTTGTATCTAATTAAGTATCTTTAATAAAATAATATTTTTTAATATTTTTATAATATAAAAAATATATAATAAATTTATGAGTAAATATATTTTTTAAAAGAAAAGAAAAATATCAAAATTATTAAATATAAATTATACTAGAAAATATAAAATAGATAATTATTGAAATAAGACAAAAACACGGTATATTAACTATTATTTAAAGTTGACATTGAGATAAAAAAAAAATTTAAATTATATTAAAAAATTGATCTTAATTTTTTTTATTAAAATTGGTTCAACCCAAAAATTTAATTGGTTTTATCTCAATTTAATTAAAATCCAATTATTTAAAAGCAACATATAGCCTGTTCTCGATTAAACCAACCACTCCAATCCGAATCTCAATCAAAGATTAGTATAATGTATCAAAATGTATTAGTTACAAAATATCCTTATTATAAGTTAATTGACTTTATTTTTAAAATTCAAAGTCTAAATTGAGATATACTAATTCTATTCAACTCAATTTTAACAATAAATATGCATTTGTAGAAATTAATAATTGGTTTAAAAGCTTATTCTAGCTTAAATTTTCTTCAATTTAGTTCCTTGTGATATATTAAAACCCATAACCGGCTTATCCAATTTAAACATTCCAAGTTTGATTAACTTGAAATTTAGCATACTTTTTGTAGGGTACGGTGGAGTTGAAGTAAATTCGTATAAAAGTTCTTACTAACATTTTAACTAAGGTTTCAATAGCATAATCATCCGTCATAGGAAAAAAAATATGAACGTATTAATTTATTAATAGAATCTATAACTCATGAAAGGATCTTCATGTAAGTATAAAAATAGTCACATGCTATGAATATTTTTCATGTTGCGA